ACCTTACCATAAGAGAAACCCATTACATCTGTTCACAGAAACCAATGTCACTTACAATGAGCATAAATTAATATCATCAGCAAATACAAATGGAGAGACAATCATGGTTTTGAACTATGGATGCTTTTACTGCCTTCCAATCTCTTTTGAATGTGTATGGGGTCACATACACACACACACACACACACACACACACACACACACACACACACATATTTACCAGCATTTCCTTTTTCTGTCTCTGTGTTGGGGATCAGGCCTAGGACCTCATACATGCAAGGCAAGGTCTACGCTCCCTGCCATATCCTCAGATGCATCCTGGAATTGTTCTACAGAAGATTTCTAGATAATTTTAAATTAATTCTGTATGAACGGCAACCCCCTCCCCACCCATTTTATCTTTCCTCCATGCTGTGGCACCTGCTGTTCCATTTCCTTTGTAGTCTGACTACTTTAGAGACCGTCCTGGGTGGAACCATGCAGTGTTTGCTTTGTATAAAATAATATCCTCATGGTTCACCTGTGTCCTGTCTTATGGCTTGAGTTCCTCCTTTAAGTTCTTCCATTTTATCACTCTGCCACATTTTATTTGTAGTTGATAGACACCTCCCCCACCCTTACCCCCATGACCCTAGCTTGGTTTCTGTGAAAAACACTTCCAGAAGCATACCATGTATCAATATCATGTTAAGATCTTGCTTGTTTGTGTGTCTTTGGCACTTCTGATTCAAGGTATTACTATTTTAAACTTTTGGAGGGACCTCCATACTGTCTTCCATATAGGGTGCATCTTCTGACACCCTCACCATTGAAGCCACAAGGTGTCAGTATCTGTACATCTCACCAGCACTTTTCGTGTGTGTGTGTGTGTTTTTGTGTGTGTGTGTGTGTGTGTTGTCAGTCGTGAGTGCTGAACTCTGGGCCTGGGCGCTGTCCCACAACTTTTTAGCTCAAGTCTAGCACCCTACCACTTGAGCCACAGCACCACTTCCAGCTTTTCTCTGCTTATGTGGTGCTGAGGAATTGAACTCAAAACCTCATGAATGCAAGGTAAGCACTCTACCACTGAGCCACCTTCCCAGCCCTCACATATATTGTTTAATAATAGCCATTCTGAAAAGTGTAATGTGTCACTATGGTGTGATCTAGGTCTGTATGATGATTAGTGAGTTGGGAATATTTATCTATTGGTCATCTTACGTCTTCTGTGGGGAAAAATAATCCATATTCAAACCCTTTACCCAGGTAAAATTTGGTTGTTCAATGTGTGCTGTTTAATTTGTTTGTGAAGTTTTTCTGTTCTTTTTGTTTGTTCGCTCTTGCTTTCTAATTTTATTTAATTGTGTTCGAAAGGGTATTTGTTATGCTCTCTTTTTCCTTCAGTCTTTTTTCATTGGTGCCTAATGCTTGGCCTGTCTTGGAAAATGTTCTGTGTGACTTGAGAGGAGAGTTTTGACTGCCTTGAAGGGAAAAGAATGAAAGAGTCAGAGATTTTGGCCTCCTGAGGTCTGTGTGATTGGCACAGCCCTTGGACGAAAGCTTCAGAACTGGGTTTCTTCTGCAATTGCAGGTGTGAGGGCAAAAGCCTATTAGTGATGTCTCTTCCAAACAAGTTGCTTCCCACTCTTGAGTCTATGCCCTTGGCATTTCCTATGTCTGGAATACTTGGGTCCAGCTATCCACATGATACACTCCTTCAGGTCTCAGCACCCTCTACCAGACACTTTCTTCTCAGAATGGCTTCTTTGGCTCCTGATGGTAGAATGGTAAAATGGTAGAATTCCCCCAGCTCAGATGACACCGTTGGTTTGTTCTCATTGCATTTTGTTATCCCTTGTGTGGTTATTTTTGTTTCTTTATTGCAGAGTGAGCTTCAGGAGGGCAGCACTGTTGCCTGTCACTGAAGTTTGACTCATAATAAATGCTAAAACAATGAGTACACAAATAATAACCAGATCAATGAATGGATGCATCGATAAACAGGAAGGTTCTTGGACAGGAATTGTGCATCTACAAATGCACATACATGATTACTTCCTTGAATACTGTGACATCTTGAAGACATATTGTTATACCTTGATGAAATTATTTTATCAGTAAATTAATACACAAAGGCATAGTCTCATTGCTTCAATGGAGAATTGAAGTGTGGCAAAGAGGTGAAATGCATGCCGAGTGTAGAGTGTCTTTTGGAAGAACTATCAAGAGACTGAAATTGAAGGTCAGCTGAATGAACTGTGCCACCCCTTATCCATAAAAAGCTCTTCAGGGTGATCCTAAAGGCTCAGGCAGACACCTCCAATGGTCAGGTTCACATCTGTGGTCCCATTTCAAATAACATTGATATTAAATGAGAATTTGAGACCTTATCAAAATACACATTTGCTTCCAAAATGATCCTTTTGGGACAAATAGCTTCTTTGTACAAGAAATATTGGGACATCCATCTTGTTTGGGTTGTCTTATTTGTAGAATGAAGTGATGATGAAAATAAATACATTTTATGAAAGCTTTGTGTGATTTACAAAGATCTCTGTCCATGTCTTGTTGGACATTAGACTGTATGAGAGAGAGAGAAACACGCACACACAGACACAGTGAGACAGAGAGTCAGGGAGACAGGGAGACAGAGAGATATAGAGAGACAGACACAGAGAAAGGAGATATTGCTCAACGAAGTGCCCAGCTGTGTGCTAGGCATGCAGACAGTAGTGTTGGGAGTCTATCCTCTTCTGACCCATGCAACCTTGACCTAGCCTGCTCTATGAACACTTACTTCTTCCCCCCGAGCTGAATGGAGGTGGTGTTACTTCGTTTATTACCAAAACCAATTTCCAAAATGGGTAATTGTGTTCTGACTCACACAATTCCCCCTGCATTTCCTGACTGCTCTGGGTGACTTATGTCTTCCTCTTTGCCCTTAATGGATATGTAATGAAGTGACATATTTCAAAGTCATGACTGTGTTTCAGGCTAGAGAGGATTTTCTAAATAATGTCTCAGTACAGGGCTGACATAAAGCTGGTGCGTATGTGCTCTGCCTCTGTTCCTAAGAGAGCTACGTTGTAGAGGAAGGGGGTCTTCCCCAGGGAAAGCTCATTTTCAGGGCCTAAATGTCCTCTGGGTAAGTAGAAGTTAGTATTCAAAGAAGGTAAGGACTCAGGATTCGAGCCAGTTTGCTTTGTTTGCATCTTGTTACCACTAGTTTTTAGTTGTGAGCTTGGTTGTATGACTTTAACCTTTCTCAGCCTCAGCCTTCTCATCTGAAAAATGCTGATAATAATGACATCTATCGCCTCATGTTTTATGAAGAGCAAGTGAGACAATCAGTATGGAGACACTGATGACAGTCTGGAGTCCATGGTGGGGCCCAGCAATCCCTGGCTGTAGATATGATTTTTTTTTAAAATTGGTGCAGTCCATCAGATACGTATTGCTCATGACACATGTCAAGTTAGGGAACTAAATACATGAATGGCAACAGTATAATAAGATAGATCTCCTTGTAGCTCACATGGGAGAAGAGAGAAAGTACTCGTTCATTTGTATTGAGGTTAGGGCAAATTTCCCAGGGTAAGTGTCCCAGATCCTCAGAGGAAAGTTGGTGAGTGAATTCGGCCTATAGAGTTCACATGTATTTACTAGATTTCCATTGTATAAGAGGCTCTGGGAAAGAATGCTGCTCCAAAATTATCCCATCCTTGTCCATGGAATTTTCTCTTCTGAGACAGGATGGACACCAAACCAACTCATGTAATCGAGATTATGAGGGCAGGATACAGATTGGTATGGTGTGGTATAGTCTCAGGGCTGGTTAGCTATTGGGGTGGGTTTCCAAAGCTATCTCTGTATGTAATGGAAACTTAAATTGATACTTGGAAGGCGAGTGAAGTAGGAAGAGAGCAGGGCAGGCCCCATGGTTGGAGAACCATGGTGCATTTCCCCAACTGAATGAGGGAGAATGAATGAGACAGGATGCTGAAGACATGCTAGTGTGCTAGCAAGACCCAAAACACCTCTCAGGTCATTCAGACCTCAGGTCATTCAGTGCAAGTGTCTTATTTTGTGCATAGGCATGCTAGAATCTGGCTTAGGTTTTCAATTGACTGAATTACTGAGAATTAAAAGTATGGAGACCCGTGAGATTTATCTTAGGTTTGGGGCACAGGAAAAAGCAAAAAAAAAAAACAAAGTCAGCAGTTGCATGTGTTGAGCTCTGGGGGCCTTGGTGCATTTGGAGGAGGAGATGGAGAGTGTTGAGGCCCTGACCATGCTGGTGTGACCAGTGCCTAAGTAATTTGCCAAGAAATTTGAAGTATGGAGGTTGAGAAGCAGGGAGAAGATTTCCTTCTCTTCTCATGCATTTCTTGAGTCAGCATTGATTGAATTTAGGGTAATAGGTTGGAGAAGTTCCTCAATCTCACTGCAAGGATCGATGGATGGGAGGCACTTTCTTTTTTGCAACCACACAAAGGAGATGTACTAAGGGGTGGTTAAACTTATCAGTGGGAAAAGCTCATGCATCTTATACTTACATCATATATATATAATATATATATATTATATATATATATATATACAGTGAGTAGTTCAAATATATGCACTGAGAGTCTTAATGTGAGGCTTTTGCAGTTGCTGAGAAAAGCCATAGCAGTGAAAAACATAGATTTTTGAACTACTGATAAGGTAGAATCTTTCAGACAATGAATAAAATTGTATTTTTTTCCTACCTCCATGAAATGTCCCTGTAACCGCTTTAGAAAAGTTAATGAGGAAAGATAACTTGTCAGCCTTCCCTTGCTACCCATTAAGGATAACGTTGAATTCCCTTAGATAATCCACAGCTTTCGAATGCACAGATGCATCCTGTGAAGTTGTGTTTGTCTGGAGTACACTCACTGCTTTTTGTGCTCAGCTTTGGTGTTGTAGCTCAGAAGTTTCCACGCACCATGTATGACTACCCTTTCAACTGCTCGTTTTTTTTTTTTGTTGTTGTTCAGGTGACAGAACTCAACAATGTGAAAAATGTAGCTCGATTGCCAAAGAGCACCAAGAAACACGCCATAGGAATTTACTTCAATGACGACACCTCCAAGACCTTTGCTTGTGAATCAGGTTTGTCTGAGGCTGGGGCCTTTGCCTATTGGCCTTTGATGGGGTGCGTGGCACACAGGTTCATCTTTTGGCCCTTTCCACAGATCTGGAGGCGGACGAATGGTGCAAAGTCCTCCAGATGGAGTGCGTGGGCACGCGGATCAATGATATCAGCCTTGGAGAGCCCGATTTGCTGGCTACCGGGGTGGAGAGAGAGCAGAGTGGTGTGTACAGAAAACCTTGCCTTTCCTCTCCTACAAACAGATTTTCCCCTTTGTAATAAGCCACACAGTGTTCCCGTTATGTTAAAATGTCTATTAGTATGAAAGTGTCTGAGCTAATGATATCGGTGGGAAGTTCTGGGGAGCCTATGACATGTTAGGGCAGCTAAAGATTCTTCACTTTTCCCAGTGGTCCTGCATCAGGCCTTATGGTTTCTCCCACTGTGCAGATGAGGAAACCAAAGCTTCACAGAGCTAAAATACTTGGCTTCAACTCTGTAGCAAAGTAGTGTCTGATTCCCATCTTTACTCTTGAGTATGTATGCACAACACATAGATTTGAAAGCAATAGGTTTTTTTGCCTTGTGTTTTTTCACTTAAAATGTTATTGACTGCTTTCCAATGCTTTTAATAGTATTTACATGAATATTTCATCAAGGTAACTACTTTAAAAAATCTTCTTAACTGAACACTCGGTCCAATTTGGCTCAACAAAAATCTAGGAATAAATCACTTTAAATAATAACAACTGAAATATTCATGATCATTTTAGCAAAAATCAATACTGGTTTTCAGCCCAAGCTTGGAATAACTTCTCCGAATACTCATGCTTTGTAATGGGGCTGAACAGATCTCAGAGCCCTGTGTTAGTGACTGGCTTGATCTATGAGAACAGATCAGAGCAGAAGGGGATCCGGGCTCCTGGATTGATGACAGACACAGCAGAGGTGGAATTGTACTGACCTTCCGCGTGGGCATGCACTCCAATCGTTAGTGACAGAATGCTCTCGCTCTCAACCGGAACTGTCTTCAAGACACATTTATGCTCGGTTACTTTCTTAGAGGCATCGTATCTACTGCCATCAATCCCCACCCAGCTGTCACTAACCAAGACCCAGAAATGTGGGCTAATAATTCAGAAGAGCTTCTTTGTAGGTTGGGAAATGGAACTACAGAGAGAGTAAGCCCTTCTTGGGGTCATTCACTCCATCGCCAGACTCTTCTTTGATCATTTATTAAGATCAGGAGAAGGCTGGAAGAAGGGATGCCCCAGAGCCTTGCAGGCATGCAGATGGAAATGGGACCAGATTTGATTATTGTTTTGTAGAGGACTCAGATAGTCACTTCTGTTTCAAAGGGCTACAACTAAATTTAAGTATTGGCTGTGCCCGAGGCACTTTCCCTGAAGTTTTCTGTGCCTAGGTTGTTTCTTCTGCAAATGAAAGTAGAAATATCTCTGGTATAGAATTACTAGCGATTATGCTGGGCACTGGTGGCTTACGCTTGAAATCCCAGCTACTCAGGAGACTGAGATCTGAAAACCATGGTTTGAAGCCAGCCCAGACAGAAAAGTCTATGAGAGGCTTATCTCTAGTTAACCAGCTAAAGCTAGAAGTAGAGCTGTGACTCAAGTGGCAGAGTGTCAGCCTTGAGCAAGAAGTCCAAGTGAGAGTCCAAGGCCCTGAGTTCAAGTCCAAGTACCAACACACACACACACACACACACACACACACACACACTAATTATTAGGGATTCTGATAAAACTTAACTATGTCTTTTAAAATTCTTTATAGTCTTTATTTTCATGATCTCATAATTGTAATAAAATGGACATGTGACTGCATACCCGCTGTGCCAGTGCTCTACCACTGAGCTGTAAGCCCAGGTCTACTATAAAAGTATCATTCAGTGAGTACAGTTACTTCCAGGCAAATTACTCAGTGATGGAAAGTCTTTCTTGCCTGGTTCAGAGCTCCCAGGGAAAGTGTTTGTACCATTAGAAATGTATTTTTGAAATAATAGTTACTAAATAGCAGTATTTAATTACTGAGTGTTTGAAATCTTTTAGAAACTTTAAATTGTAGATGCACAGATGCATTTTATCTTGACATTTCTGTTTACTAAAGTCAACTAAAATCTCTGAACATTCTAATGGTTATATTATTACAAGACAGTTAAATTAGAATGTCATTAGCATAAAATTGTTAGTGCTTTAGTTAGCTGCCTGAAATCTACTGTGGTGGTTGGGTGGAAATGTGTGAGTTGTAGGCTGTGTTTGCATACTGTACAAGGTATTGGAAAATATTCATACATTATTAGAGTGATAATAATTTTGTTCTCATTTTATTTACAAAGTTTGACTCTAATGTTTTTTTATATTAATGAATTTTCTAAAATATAACAAACATACCCATCACTGTTTTCTGAAGAGAAGAAAAGTTTGTTAGAACAATAGCCAAACAATTAATTTAGAAGATTTTTGGTGACATTTTTAACAGTTATCCAAACAAACTAATATTTCTTACCAATAATTGGCTAAAGAAAGTTCTCTGTTGAAAGTAGATTAATTATAGTCATTGCATTTTCACAAATGGTTGGTCAGTTGATTGCATAGCATTAGTATGGAATTTTACATAAATAACTGGGGAAAGAATTTATTCATTTAATAGTAGGAATTATGAGTTGACTGGCATAACTTTAGCATCACAAAAACCATGAAACAATTATTTTACACCTGCATCTTTTATGAATATGAAAATGTGGGTGTAATTAATGGGTGTCTGGCAAGAAAAAATGCTTTTAGTGGTTTTATTGCTTTGGTCTGCTATTGGCCTAGAATTGTTTTCATTATGCAAATTAAAAGTCTAAACATGTAAATAGTGTTTCCTGTATGTTGACAGTCAGACGCCATTGTAACTATGTTATTTAGTAGTGTCTGATTTGAAAACCATTTTCTGGGACAAATCATTTATGAGAAATGTGTATCTTCCTGAATATTGAAGCAAACCCTAGCATGTGAGCGTCAGCGATTTCTAAATGCATCTGTGTTCCTGTGATGTCTTTTGATGTGCTGCTCCTTGGGATTTTAGACTGACCTCTTGTTTTTCTCCCAGAGAGATTCAATGTGTATTTGATGCCGTCTCCTAACCTAGCTGTCCATGGCGAATGTGCCTTGCAGATTACCTATGAGTATATCTGTCTTTGGGACATCCAGAATCCCAGAGTTAAACTCATCTCTTGGCCGCTAAGCGCCCTCCGGCGGTACGGACGGGATACCACGTGGTTCACTTTTGAGGCAGGAAGGTGAGTTTAATGGCTTTTTAATAACACTTCTCCCCAGCTCAGCGTTGTATTTATCTTCCTCCAGACTCTTTGGAAAACTCATAGGTTGTGATTGCATAATACGAGAGGTATTGTAAAATATTCATACCTTCAACCGAGCTGTTCTTCCAGGTGAGGCTGCTGATGGCTCATGCATATGATTTGAATTTCCGTTGCATGTTTGATATCACACTGCAAACTGAAGTCGATTTGGATGCGAGGACTAAAACAAACCATTTGCTAGGTGAAGCTGAACAAAGGCTAGAGTCTTGTTTTGGGGAAAGCTTCTGAATGTCATTCTCTGTTGCCTTTCCTCACTGGGGCTAGTAGGCTGGACTCTAGACCAGGAGAGCCACTGACATTGTTAGAATTGCAGATTATTGAGTTCCATCCACATGCTGCTCAGAGTAGTGAATGACAATAATCACCGAAGAGGTTAATCCTAAAACATTGGCATCATCCCTGCCCTTAGGGCTCCCAAGATTCCTTTTAGGAGTCAATGTGAGAAAAAGACATGGAGCCAGCTGGGTGGGTGGATCACCACCTATGAAGAAATTGCTGGGCGTAGTGTTTTATTTGCCTTGCCTTCGCTCCTGTGCCCTCTGAGCTGAGGCCCTGCTACTTTTTAGAAAAACACTGATATATTTTAATGTAAGAGTTTCCAAATGACCTTCTGTATATGGCCTAGAATTACATTCAAGTTGAAACCAATCAACTTACGACATTCAGAAGAAAAAGGTTGTTCAATGATATTAATGGGATGCATTAATTGGATGTTATTTGTCAAATATTATTTCCTGAAGGAAACTGGTATGTGATGTAAAGGTTGTAAAACAGAAGTTCTGTCCACTGCCCATGACTCTAACTCATGACAGTGGATGACAGTAACACACTGTTCAATTAAGCTGTTTACTCTCTTTTAAATGGAGCAGAATTATTGAAATTTTACTTTTCAGAAATAGGAGCCATTTCATGTTCTTAGAATTATCCTTGAAAGTTTTAAATTTCTTCTTTCTTGTATGTGTCTTCTCTGGTATATTTTATTTCTTTTTTATATTCTTTTTTATTGTCAAAGTGATGTACAGAGGGGTTACATTTACAAAAGTAAGGTAATAAGTACATTTCTTGTCAAACTTGTTACCCCTTCCCTCATTTTTTCTCCTGCTTTCCCTCCCTCCACCTTCCCCACTCCATTTTATTTCTTGATGAATCCCCCAGACAATCAAAAGAAAAAAATCCATCATACATTAAGAAAATAAATGTTAATGTTCAGAGCAATACCCTTCTGGTCAGAACTACATATTTATTATCCTTTGGGATTATTCCTATAGAAAACTGAGGATTTGCTTGGTCAGATTCATATATTTCCCCTTTATATCTCAGAGGTTATCATTATTAATTCATTATAACCACTGAAGTCTAGACATTGAAAATGTCTTACAATAGAACTAGACTTTTCCATTGCTCATATACTTCATATCATTCTCCATCCTTATTCTCTGTTGATGTGTTTGATTCTGGATTAGTCCAAAAGTTCAAATACAACTATTCAAGCATTAATTTTCTCCCCATGGTGTGAGATTTTCTCTCTGTGGGAAATTGTAATAGGAAAGGAACATGACTTTATTATTTTAAGAGCATGGTTTTTGGTGGCAACATCTGAGGGCCAAAATCTAAGTAAATTTAAGCAGTATCATGACTACTTGAAACATTTCTTTTTGAAATTACCTCATTGATTTTCAAGGTATATATAGAATGAATATTAAGTTTTGATGTAAAAGTTTAATTCACATTGAAATCTAATAGCATTGCCCAAGATCTATGAGATTCCTTAAAAGTTTTTTTTTATGTTTTCTCTTGAGTGTTAAAGGAAACCACAGAGATATGTAAGCAAATATATTTAAGTCTGTGTGTGCATAGTGTGTATGTGTGTGTGAGCGTGTGTATGTGTGGTGTATATGTATGTTGGAATTAAGTTCATATGTTTTAAAGGATGGAGAGGCGGGTACGCATATGGGTTAGCAGTGAAATAGTTCAAGACAAAGGATTGTTGAGTAAGAAGTACAGACATATTGGGGACATAAAGTTCAGAATCACTTTAATGGTTGTTGACCAAAAGCCATAAAATTATGACTTAGAAAGTGAAAACCATTCTTTCCATGATTTTAATGGCTCCCTTATGGTCTTTCCTTTGGGGAATTTCATCTCGCAGTTGAGTGGTTATAATACCTATAAACGCTGACCATTCAATGAGGGGCCTCCAACAGTTAGGAGCATAGAATACTTCTTGATCTTGAACAGCAGTTTTATTAACTCATCTGCTTTACAGGGCTGATAAAGCATGGATTTTGAATGATCAAAGAGAAGAATATGGGGATTATGTTCTTAGGATGTTAACTCATTTCTCAAGAAGCACAAGAGGTATAAGAAGCACTGGTTCATGAGTCAGAGAGACCCAGGTGCTCATCTCTAATTTTTATTAGCTCATGACCTTGGACAAAAGGATTGAGTTCAGGTGTCGGTCCATCTAATAGCTTCCACGCAGGGCTGTAGTAGTGAAAATAATGATTTGTGTAGATGACTTACAAGGGAGCTGTGCTCCTCCTGAGTATATTTGACATTCTATTATGATTATTTTTTGAGCCGGACCTGGTTTTGCAGGAAACCAAAAGCATTAAATGCAGACAGGGCAATATTACTACTTTATGTTTGGTCTGAAACTCAAATAAAGATGAACTTTTATAGTTACTACCAAGATGCTCAGGATAATAAGATCATTTGTGTTCCTTTGGGCATGAAAGTTTCACATCTGCCTGCTTTTATTAGTGAAGATATTTTTTCCTTTGCTATTTTGGGGTATGTTCAAAACAAGTCAGCTTCACATTAACTGAGATAATGTTCTCTCTCCCCTTAGGAAGTGAGCAGGAGTGAAACTAGGTACCAGGTACCCAGTGTTCACATATCCAACATGAATCTGCCAAACTTTAAAAGTGTGTTTCTATAGGACACAGGGCTTTTTCTTTCCAAAAAACTTGGGCAAAGATCTGTTCACAGTGGGCTGATTCTTGCTCAGTGGCTTCAACAACACCAACAGTGGTGCACATGTAAAAAATAAGACTGGGGATTGAGCTGGGAAATAGAAGTACAATTCCGCCACATACTGGCTAAGGGAATTTCATACACGTAAAGTAGTACCAGTGTCTCATTTATCCTCAAGATTGCTATGGAGAGTAAAGGCACGGGTGAAAATATGTGGGGACCCAATGGGTAGTAGGCTCAAGCCAAACTGCTACAGGAAAGAAACTCACTGGCTGGCCAGACTCAAAGTCCAGAGGGGAGAAAATGGAAGGCTTCAGGCTTGGCTTGATTCAGCCTCACAATGATGGCTCGAGGTTTCAGTTGTGAGTTCTGTTTCTTGGATGATGTCTTTATTCTGGCTCCAGATAGTGACTTCCAGGAGCTTTGGGATCTCCCCACACTATCAGCCAATAGAAGATAAAAGAGTAGCCAGTCACTACTGCCTTCAGTATTACATTTGAGCACTGTACTGTATGCTTTGCCCAAAGTCCACAGGACACAAGTACAATGGGGAAGTTCTCCCAGGGAGTAGAGTAGGCTTTACTTCTATCAGAAGGGGAATGTATTTGAGGTTTTCAAGAACTAGCCAAGTATGTCCAATGTAGCATTTATTTGCTTAAAGCAAATAAATCCTACTTTACCCTATTTTGGCAGTATTGAGATTTGAACTCAAAGCCTTGTGCTTGGTAGGCAGGTACGCTACAACTTGAGCCGTGACCTGACCCTTTCGGTGCTTTGGTCAGTTTTCTAATAGCATCTCATGGTCATGTCTGGCCTGGCTTGGAGCATGGTCCCCAGGTTTACAAGTTGGGATGACAAGTTTACACCCCCTTGCCCAGGGTATTTTTTTATTGACTGAGAGAAGGTCTTGTGGTCTTTTTGGCCTGGACTGGCCTCCAACTGTGATCCTTCTGATCCATCTTTTCCTCCTGAGTAGTTAGGATTAAGTGATGAGCCTCCGTGCCCGGCTGCAATTCCACTGGTAGTGATGCTAATGTTACTAAATAGTGGAGCCGTGACTCTCTGTCACTTCCTCAGTCTATGAATCACCCTTTTCCACTCTTTAATTAATTAATTAAAATTTTGAGACAGGATCTCCTGCATGGCTCCAGCGTGCCCAAGAACTCCAGGGATTAAAGCATACATCTCAATACCTGATTCAAATGCTCGCTATAAACTTCTAAGAAGGATCCCTTCTACTGGAGGTCAGCCTTGTTATTAATTAATATCTGCAGATCTAATAAAGAGAACTCATACTGATATTCCCAGAGCTTCCTAAAGCCATTAATACTTCTGATCTTAGCAGAATTATTTAACCCTTCATAGAAGCTGTCTCAATATGTATGAAAAAGGTCTTCATCAGTAAGCCCCAGACTTGCATATCTGAGTGATTTGAATATGTCTTCCAAGCTGTGCACTAGAATACAAATATTCTTGAGTTTAATGGGAGGGCTCTCCTATTTGTTCTTTCCTTTTGGAGTATAAAGCCAGGAGGACCTATCTCTCCTGGGACCTGGTAGACCATGAATCATTTGGTCTTAACACTATTTCTCCTGTCTCTCCTCAGAATGAGCAAATCTGACTGTTACTACATTTTCCATAAAGAAATTCAGTTAATTTCTAAAATTTGTGGCCAAGTGCAGTTGCACAATTTATTGCTCCTGGAGCTAAGTAACTACTAGCGTTCTGAAAGCCACAAAATGCCTTTTTTTTTTGGTCATTTGTGTGGCTTGAACTCAGGGCCTGGGTGCTGTCCCATGAGCCTCTCTAGCATTCTATCACTTGAGCCACAGCACCACTTCAGTTTTTGAGAGGTTAATTGAAGATGAGTGTCATGGAGACTTTCCTGCCTGGGCTGGCTTTGAACCACAATCCTCAGACCTCAGCCTCCTGAGTAGCTAGGA